GGATACAGGATGCGCCCCATCCACTTCATATCCCTCATCCGATGTCTCCGGTTTTTGGGTCTCATGTGTGCCCTTTGAGTCTTGCGCTTCGTTTGCGTCGCATTTGCGTTTTGTTTGTATATCTTGGCACACGTCTATTTGCGTTGACTGTCGGGCCTACGGTCCCGTTGCCTACGGACGACAGGACCTTGCCAAGGACATGGACAAGGACAAGGACAAGAGGCAAGGATTTGCAGTCTATACATGTCGCCTGCCTGCCGACTGTTTGCCCAACTGTGGCGTTTTGTGGCAGTTTCTTGAATAATGCAGAATAGTAGCATCAAATAACGGCACCAAAAGTGACTTAAAGTTTTAATGAAAATGCCAGGCTCGAGCAAACACACCAGCACGAGCACACACAGCACACACCCATACAAAATTTGTCTACACACACTCTAAAAGGCTCACTTCCTCGAAAGCGACGCAAACATTCATACATTAAATATTAAGTGGCTTTATAGCATTGGCCCGTAGTGCATATTAAATTTACACTAAAAAAAAAAAATAAATGAAGCCCAAAGGAGAAGGAGGAGGATGCTGTGTCCTCTAACTGTAAACAGTAAACCTGTTCCTGGTAATTCTCAAATATTAATTCCATTCCATGCTTCAATTCAATTTAACAAGCAAATTGGCATTTGGCTCTGAAACTTTAGCTGCCATTTGGGGCTTGTGCTACGGATTCCGGACTCCATACTCCAGGCCTGGGAATTTATGGCCAAATCAAAGTCAACAACTTGTCGGGGTCTAGCCCCCGCAATAACATCGAATGGTTGAGGCTTATTGATTGAGCTATTTACGAGTGTATGGCAAATGATTCTGTTTCGCAACCTCAACTGGGCTAGTCCTCCGGAGTCCGGACCACAAGCTTTTGTGCGGGTTCCACCACAATATTAAGGTGTTTCGGTCATGTTCGATTCGGCCAAGATAAATAGTGGTTTAAAAACATTGGAGTACGGTTTAGTTTCGGCTCAACCTGCATATTTTCATGTTAATTTAAAAGCGATTGTCTCCTCATTACGGCGGAAATGGAATACCACAACATGTTTGTGTTTTTTTCTTTGTATGAAAAATATTTATTCAGCTTTGGGTTTAAAAATGTATCACTTTCTGTCACCGATGGGAAAACAATAGATGACACTTGTTAGATCACCTTAAATATTTATGAAGCCAACACACCTCAGCCTACAAGTCATTTCATCTCTGAAATGCATTTTGGATTTGTCACCCGGCTGGGGGATGCGGTGGCACGTTGCACGATTCCAATAAATCTGGGGCGTGTCAAAATTTCCGACTTTCCGATGATTGATGTGGGCGTTGACGGGGGCGTGACTGGTATGAAACCGCTGACTATTCAGCCGCCCCGTACTGTCGTCCGAAAAATGCGGCCAATTAGTCAAACAGAAAGCGTTTTCGGCCGACTTGTCAGCCGCCTGTAGTGGCCAAAAGTTGCCAACCTATGTAGTCCTTGCCGGCACGGCCAACTAATTAAAACACGCTGAGCAAACTCCCCAGCGGGGGAGAGTGGACTGGTGGGAGGAGGTCTGGGGCAGGGATTGCCAGTGAGCTTGCGATGAGATTGGGATTGGGATTGGGGAGTGGTAATAAGCACGTGCCAGTAGAATTAGTGAGGTCGAGATATCGTCATCGATGCACAGAAGAAAAATACATTGAAACATGACATATATTAATAATAATTTAGTCAGATAAACCATCCTGATTAAAGCTTAGGCATACAAGTATTTTCTTCCCAATATTTGTAATACGGGTCGTATGCGCAATTTTTTCTCAGTGACCCTTTACGCGTTCACTTAATTCCGTTTATTCGTGGGAGGGGCGTGGGCCACGCCCTTGGCATACAAATTCAGTTCGGGATGCGGAAGGTCAGTGGTCGGAAGGTCTGGCCGCTAATCGAGAGTGACGAGCTCTGAAGACGAAAACAATCCCCGATTTTTGCAGGTAAACTCTACTGCCGAAAATCGAGTCGCTTTGCAGGTGTGACTCACTTTGAAATTCAGCTTAATTTCGGGTGATTAGTAATCAGGATTTCCAATGCAGACAATGGGATATGGTAATTGTGATGAGCTTGACTGACAAGTAAGATTAAGACACTCAAAGTTTCTTTAAGATGTTAGAAATTTTGACGCCCGCAGAGTATGATCTCATGCGCGTGACATATTTGTGGCTCGAAGTCATTACAATACCATTCTGGCCCACGGAGCGTGAACAAAAATGCTGAAAATCTGAATGGGTTTTCGGGGACTTTGAACTCGAAAATCACCCAGAAGCATCCAATTTTAAGCTAGTGTTACCTATTAAGCAGCGGAAGTGCTATTAACTCCCCTAGATAAACTTTTGAATGACACTCGTTCTACTCGCTTCTAATTAGACGCCGGGAAGCCCGCTTCTTTATATTTATATTTTTTTGCTATTAAAGCGATTTGTGAGGCTACCCTCACCTCAATAATACTATAATTAGCCAACAAAAAAATCAGCAGCTACTTGGAGTGTGAAGCCAAAAAATGGAATTAGTGTTTATGTGGAATCCCACCCAGATTTATTGCCTTATGGCACCAATTGGTGTATAAACATATAAATCATGAAATTTAATTGGAAATTATAGAGTATATTTTCCAACTCTGGACGTCACTCAGTGCAAATTAAATGGCTTTGATAAAATCAGGTTAATGGAATGCTTTTGAAACAGAGTACAGAGTTGAGGATAAGCGTAAGTATCGAGTTAATTGAATTAATTGAAAGCTCTTGTTTGAGATACTTGATACTGCGTCTTGTGTTTCTCTCATTGATTATAAAATTTAGACAAAAGGAGCACTCGGTTACCTGCTCTATAAAAAAATCGAACTGGTTTCCCCTTCGATTATGTCATTGCTCCGTTCTCAACTTGTTTGCATCACCTGTGCATCACTGTTGTAATGCTTTCTGATGTATAGTATTTACAAAATGCAAATTTTTATGATCTAAGACTATGACTGACTATCCGGCATTTCCTGGCTGTCAGGCAGAAATTATGTTTCCATAAACCGCAAAAAACCTAACCACAATTCTTGTGGGAAATATTTGACAAAGCCAGGTCGAGCAATAAACTGCCGGCGCGTGCCTGTGGCTTAGGGCTCTGGGCCATTTAAGTCGGAGCGTTTTGAGGGAAACTATTTCAGTGATTTAAGGTTTGCTTTCCGTAGAAGCGTGTGATTTTTTTGCTCTTAAAATTGATGTTCATCTATCCTATAAAGTCGCAAGCACTTAAGATTCATGGCCAGTTCTCGTACAGTGACTAATTGCGGTGGAAAACCAAGAGCCGTGGTATTTCCAAAGTCTGTGACCGATAAGGGGCCTAGTATCTAGTACGTCACTAACCTGCAGAAAAGGAATCTTATTCAATAAAACCCCAACAAGAAAACAACCAAATGGCAAATGAAAAGAGAAACGGAATCCACCATAAAGTCCGATGTAAATAGGGGCTCGAGTAAACAGTGTAAACAAAAAGCGTGCACGCCGGGGGATTCCAGCGTTTAAAAAATAGCTATGAGTGAGCCCATAAAAAAAGAACAAGACCGAAAGGTTGAACTTGAAATATTTGTGGGCCAAAAGGGCAAACACACACACACATATACACCCCATAACAGACACAGATACACATACAGATACAGATACACACGTGCAGAGGTTTAATTATGTGACAAGCGAAAAGTTGCGGCTCGTCTTTATCTTTGAGATACTTTCCGCTCCATGCTCCACGTTTCAAACGACACGTTTCGTTTGTTGTTGGCCAAAATGATGTGCCTCGCTTTCGGTCTGTGGCCAAAAGAAACTGCCAAAACACAAAAGACAAACAGGCATATTCGAGGGCCCAGAGCCAAAACAATACACACCCAAACATATGTACCTTAATACACATATGTTGACGTATTTTTTGTGTGTTTTGCCAAATTAGCAACAACCGGTTTACGCAGGTACTCTGCTTCGCTGGAAGAGCAAAAGCCGAAGAGTTGTTGGCCAAAAAGAGGAGGGGCTGGAGCTGAGGGCGGTAAGCGGTAAGCGACTGTCGGAAAGCTAAAGGCAAACAAAAGCCGTTTTGCTCATTAGTCGTTTGTCGTCTCTGAGTTCGTGCGAGCGAGCTAAGCAATCTCTGACAGCGGAATGAAGGTGGAGGTGGGTGGCAAGGTCGAGAGAAATATCTCCCGCCCATCTCCATCTTCATTTCCCCAAAGACGAATGTATTAAAGATGCTTTGTCCCATTGAGCCACAACAAGTGGCATATTTATGGCGGCGAATTCGACCCGGCCCGATAAGCGTTTATTCCAGTTTAAAGCAACCGTTTCAGGAGCCCACTCGGCCATCCGCAAACTGCAAAACAAGTTAAACTGGCTAAAAAGCGTTTTTCCCCACCTACGGCCAACTGTTCTGATCAATGACAATGGCCCCTGGTAGTCGTGATATTTATCCGTAATTTTAATTTGTTTGCACGCTTGCAATAAAAAGGTGTTTGGTTATTATCTAATGAACTAAGTTCCCAAGCTGCGCCAGACATAGTGGGGCTTATTAGCTACAATGCCTTCAAGCAGAACCATTTTTTATATAATAGCCTCCAAAAATGATGGCTTCGTAGAAGACTCTGTCATAGGTTATCGCTACATTTCTTGACATTAAATGAGAGTCACAATCTAGCAATGCTAAAAAAAAAATGGATCATTAATATGAGCATAAAAAATTCTATGGAAATCGAAATTTTATGCAAATCAGCAAAAAAGTTGGGTAAATAGAGATAAGTGCACAGTGGAAAAAATCAGCACACGACCAAGTAAGGCAAACATGTATTAATTGCGCTATTTATACGGAAAATTGTTATATTGGCAAAAAACGTAAGCCAACTGGTCGGGCCGAGTTTATAAATCAGAAAAGGCGGCATTCAGATAAGGGCGATCGAGAGAAAAGGCAACCATACCTTTATCTGGTAGCTTGTATCTCTGGTGTGTGGTGTTGTATCTCTGCGTTTCGTATCTCTATCTTGCACGATCTCACGGATTCAATTCATTATAGAATTCGCACTGTGTAGCTGTTATGCTCTTCTTTTATTTTTAGCAATTAAAACCAATAAAGTTGCAATTCAATTTATGATTGTTTCGCTTGTGTATGTTTTTATGTATCCGTATGTACACTTTGGTATATAATATTATTTACTTGGCTCTTTGTTTGGGCTTGTCACTTGTCGTGCTCACGGTTATTCGTTGTTTTCTGTTAACTTTTTGTTGTTAATTTCTTTTATTTTATATTATTTTTTTTTGTATTTATTTTTTATGTTTTTCTCCGATCTCGGAATCGGGCAGTGCTTGTCGGGGATTCTCGACTCTGTGGCGAACTTGTTGAAATGAACGAACTTATAATTATACTCATACCTCTCTCGCCACCAATCCCAAGTTACCCGATTCGTACATGCGTTACCGGTTCGCACAGCGATCTCTCTTGGCAACTGCTCCGAGTTGGGAAGAAGCCAGAAGAGCGAAGACTCCGGGTCGCGCGCGAAGACCTCTCTTCGCAGCTCTCTTCGGAATTAAAATATAAATAAACCTATTCATTGACACTGAAGCTGTACAACGATATAGTTGACTTTGGTGCGATCAAAGTCTTGAGACTGTGACGTCAGGTTCATAGTCAGTGGGCAAAGTCTTCTGGCCACATCCAGGGAACCGCAGCTGCGGGTTTCCACCTCAGCCCCAATCCCGAGTCTTGCAATGAATCACAGTAGGAAGCCGACAATGAATCGGCTCTATTCCCACAAAAGGGAATGTTTCTGACGGATTCCACAGATGGCCGTCTGGCGAGGCTCTAATTAGAAATTAGCACGCTTCAACTGCACTGCACATTTGGATGCAACGCTCGACTTATTTGCAACGTTTTAAGTCACCAACAGAGACTGGTCCTGGTTCGCCACCAAGCCCCTTTCGGACTGCTGGCACGACCCACACACAAAGCAAGCCCCTGAAATCTGTCACGTTTCGCCAGTTTTGAATTTACGGACCCACAAACCGACTGAAAATGACGAATGCTAATTGCATTTTCGCCATCTCAATGAAAAGCTCATTAAGCAGACAGCCCACAACAATTCTGGACTTTTCCCATTCATTAAGAGATATTAGAAAATTATTAGGAACATGAAAATGGAGGCTGGTTTGATCATCGGAAAATCGTAAATGAATCAACTTTATTGATTCATTTCAATGAAAATATTGGAAGATCTTTCAAAGAAAACTCGAAAATAAGTAATCAACTATACAATATTTTGAAAATTAAGAATTAGATAATTTTTTTTAAATACAAGGTTTTTAATCTTTAATCTTTCATTATTTAATCAAATAAAATGAATTTTTCAGACATTATACAGAGTTCCTCTAGAAACAATGAAAAAATTCATAGCAGAATAATTTAGAATTTAATAACTAAAAAAAAAACGTAATAATTATATTTTAATCAGTTGAAAACTTAAAAGTAAAATAATTTTAAACCGCGACAGAACCAAACCGCTTATATGATAGCAGCGAATTGGCTTGGGCTGTGGTGGTGCGTGCTGAGCGCCCTGTTCGTTATCAAAATCGTGTTTCTCGCGGGTCGTGTGTTCGATTCCCAGAACTGACAAACAAAGAAAGAATAATTCTAAAAATACCTCAAGAGGACAAGGTTTGATGGGGAAAATCCCAATATAAAATAGTGCTGCTTGTACCTAAAAAAAAGAACTTTTATTATTATTCAATGCGACTCATCATGGCATAATAGTTTGACTTTCCCCATAGCCGAACAATTTCCGCATGAATCGCAGATTAATTAAAGGTTAATGCACGTATCTACTGACATTCCAAATTATTAATGACAGTGTTTCGTGTAATTTCCGAACAACCATTTTTTTATTACCATCTTTTCCCATGAAAATCATTTAATTTGTATGAATTTTTCACTTCCACTGCATAGCAACCACAAATTTTGTCGGAAAGTTCACACAGAGTGTGCGGCGAATCGTACAGGATGTGAAGGATGAGGGGGCGCCCAGTGGAATGACCCGGGACGAGGTAATCGAGACCAACGAGCGCCTGAGATCCTTGCGGCTTCGCCTGGAGGAGTCCTACGAAACGGCCAAGAAGGCCCTGATCAACCTCATGAACAAATACGGCGATTCCAAGAGCCAGCGCAACATTTTCCAACGCTATCCCATGCTTAAACTGATGATTAAAGTAAGGTTAAAATTTATGTTTAAAAAATGAATTTAATTCGTATTCCTTAACAGGAAGTGATTCGCCTGGAGACCCAGTACTGGACCTTGGTGGACATCCCGCGGCAGGAGAAGCAGGAAACGGTGCCCTCGTACGTGATGCGCGCCTGCTCGATCATGGAGAAGACCCAGAAGTCCGGCGAGGGGGTAAAGACCTCCGCCCGCCTGGCCGAGGAGGCTGCCGAGCGAAGGGAGCGCATGGAGCGACTGGAGCGTAAGTAAATGGGACTTAAAACCGGAAAGAAAAGGTTAAATAGTCCGGCATCCTTTTTTCCAGACATGACAACGGCCCAGATCGAACACGAGAATACGCAGCTGATAAACGACTTGTACCGCTTGCTGAAAAAGTATCTGGGCCTGCGGCATCTCATCCGGGTGTTGAAGGTGAGTCGAGTGTCCGGTGCCCCAGGGGGGCAACATTCTTACTGTATTGTTAATCCTCATCTGTATCTGTATCTTTTCACGCGTGTGTGTTTGTGTGTGGGAGCAGGAAGAGTACGGCAGCTCGAAGATGTATCCGATATTTCCACGCTACACAATGCTGAAGGACATGATAAAAGGCATCATGCACGACCCGGACTACATGGAGGTGTGCCACGAGACTCTGGCCAACGCCAACTGAGCCGAGGGCACCGGAAATGGCAGGCGTCGCATGAGTGTCATTTGAGAGGGCCCAAAAACTACAACCGATACAAACAGCAGCATTCGCAGGACCTAGGACCTCGAGCTGTATTCGCATGCGAGTTTCTGTCATTCCGGCGTGATTTAGAAAATTCTGAAACAATAGCTACCCACTGCCGAGGGAGTGGGGGTTTTGTTTTACTTTCCCCTCTTCGCCCAGTCTCTTTCGGCCCTTCTCTTGCAGCCAACACTCGAGGCAAGCCAAACAAACAGGCTAATCAAATAACTAACCGACTAACTAAACTAAAACTTGAACTAAAACCAGAACTATGTATATCCAAGCCCCACCATCTACCACCCACTACCACCAAAACTGAACAAGCAACTATTTACACTACATTATCAGATACAAACACTCGAATACTCTTCGGCACTTAAGTGCCAGCAAACAAACTAAAAAGGCATTTATTTTAATGAACTTTTGAGAGGAAACAAAGAAAAACCTATGAATACAAAGGAGAAACACAAGATATTTTTAAGATCAAGATATGCTCAAGAAACCAAAGTTTGTGTCATCTGAGCCTAATATTATGCCTAGGTATACACTGATTATATATTTGTAACCAAAACTAAACCTATCTACAGCCAAACGGGAGTATAGAGGCTAGTTAAAGAACTCCCTGATTTGGCCTCGGTTTTGTATCCTTTTCTAGTCGATTAGCCATTATACTGTGTAATTACCAAAGTGTATCAAGCTACATATATTATTAAATAATTCCCACGCCTAGATGTATTAATTACCTAGTTAGACAATATGCGGGAAATATTCCCAATCGATGTGAGAACTCTCAACACCTTTTAAGCAAACACAACACCAATGCAAACACCATATCCTAGAACCTTACTGTCTCAATGGCAGGAAAATGCTTTATGTGTGTCTCAGCTTTAAGTCCCACCTCAACTAGCCGACATGCAACAAATCGTGGCAACACGACTCTGTAGGTTTTTTGAAATGGGATATATGTATTATTGTATTCGTTGTTGTACATACCAAGTAGCTTTCTAGCCTCCCGACACGCCCCATATACATTCGAACACAAAAGACCAAAAGGAAAACCTAGACGAGCTTACAACTTTCAACGAGAGCTAGAAAAATCCACAATTTCCATTTAAGTTACTTATGCTGATGATATATTTTACTTACTATCGCTACCAAGTCTCTGGAAACTAAAGCTACAACACTCTACCGACACACCCACCGATACTCCGATGCTACTATCTACCAGAGCTCACACACATCCGTTTGTAAGTAGATCGGAAACAGATTCCAGTGGCCGCAGAGCAATTGAGTGCATAAATTAGTCCTGCAACTGTGCCTGCCTGTGTTTGTGTACATTAACATTATATGCCTCATGGAGCCCGATTATCGGTTCATTTTTCCCACGACAATGGGTCGCTTTAAAACCAACACCCACTCTGCCTGCCACCCTCACTGGCCTTTAATTAAAAAACACACAAATATTTGAAAAGTACATCAGCTAGATAAACTCTCATCATGAATAAATCAAAATAGATAATGAACGTTGAAAACATAGCAAATTAATTATGCAAAATCCATACTCTAAAGTGAATTAAACAAAATTTCATTTAGCCGAGTAAGTCTAAGCGACGCGTTTTGTTGTTTGCGTAGTTAAATGTTGAGCATTATATTTGAATTAATATGAATTTAAAAATGTTAGTCGCAATTCGCATATGTGCAGGGGATAAGCCACATAATACATGATACTTAATATTACAACAGATATATTCAACCATGCAATTATAGCTACAACTAATTAAAACTAAACCGTAAACCGTAATGATCAGGTATTAAAGTTATGACGTTTAATCAAAATGTATTACAAAGTGTGTTACGACAAGTGTGTGTGTGCGTGAATGTGGCCAATAAAAGCGCATTGCAATATAGAATATAGTTGGTCTTATAAACCAAAAAAGAATTAAAACTAAAAGGAGTTTTTCAGAGGGCGATATTGCTGCATACCAGTACAGAGACATAAACTATAGTTATATATGATATTCGTATTATTGTACAACTTATACACGATCGACAACATCTACACGTACTCGTATGTATACTCTATTTATACACACAGACCCACCCGATCAAAGGATACCTGGGCTGTTGGTAATCCTGCAAACCAAACTGCGAACAAAAATGAATAAAACAAAACTTCGTACAACTTTACCTTTTCAACATCTCAGTGTCTAAAAAATGATTAAATGTATCTCCGCAAAGGAAGTTACCAATATATTGGATATATTACTAAAGCAAAATATGTATCAAGACACTACATAATATGAGGAAATCGATAAATATATTGATATTCAAAAAGATTTAAAATTTGTTTCATTTTTGTAGACTACTTTGAACTACTAGCGCCACCTGGATGTTGGGTTTGCAATGTTAAAAATTTAACAGAGGAAAGGTTCTGTTAAAATTTAACAGAACTTGAGTGAGCGAAAATTTGAATTGTTACCAAACTTTTTTTCTTTATTATTCTTAACAAATGCAGTTTAATGAATAAATGTTTTAAAGATTAAATAAAGTTTAAAACAAATGAAAACTCAAGTTATAATACTAGAAATCTTAGAGATAGCTTTGAAAGATTGAAAGGTTAATGTGGCCCCTGAAAAGTCTCCAAAGCAAACGCCATTTTTTGATGAAAAAGCTTCGTCCTAGCATCCAAAGGACTTGGCTAAAATCCTGTTCAAGAACCACCACATTTGTGTATTTTACTTTTTTGCCTGACGTTCATGCTTGTCAGATACTTCCGCCTCAGAATTGTCATCCGGAAGAGAGTCCACCGACTGCGAAGAGCCCTTGGACTTCGAGCTGGCTATGGAGCGAGAAGAATTCTTCGGATACTTGACCGCCTTTGTGTTGCCGGAACATTGCAGTATAAAGCGTATTTCGTCCAGCAGTTCCGTTTTGAAGTTCACCTACCGAGAGGAGAGGATATATTACAAGTCCTTGTAACAAGTTGTAAAGTTTTGAAAGCATATCATGCAGAAGGATAAACTACAAAACAAGCATTCCAAAAAAGGTTTTTTACATAATGATTTGAGGGTTATATGGCATATTGGTCATATTATAGGATGAGATGAGGGGTCTTGTGTGATATATGTTGGCTCCAAGTCGTCGCTTTTTTGGGAGCTGATGATTCAATTCTGTTATTCAGATTAAGGCGACCTTTTCGCCGCCATTTTTAGTCACAACGGTGGGTTACTATTTTCAGACCGCCACCCATTTAAGCGGTTTACCTTGTTCTCCCGCGCACTCAGGTAGATGCTGACCACGCAGTTAACCAGCCCGTAAACGCTGCCAAAGCAACTGCCCACAAACATGACCAGGTAGACGCCACCCAAATTGGCGAAACCGAGCGAGGAGGCGTCCGAATCGGCTTCCTCCTGTTTATTTTTTTATTTTTGTTGTGGGGAATTTCAAACGTTTTTGTGGATAAATTAAAGTGCTTGTTTTAGGTGCCATGGATGTGTGTGCAATGTTGGCTAAAGGCTGCAGCTAATCGATTGGAAAGCCAGGTGCTATTTGGCCTATACCTGGTTCTCGTCACTGCGCTCCTTGACGCCCAACACCATCTCGAGCAGGGAAACGAAAATGCCAAAGAAGGAGCCCACTCCCATTACCAGAAAGACGCCGCCCAAGTTGCTTATCTCCAGGGCCACGGCACCTGCATCCTCGGCTGCATCCTGCATGTTGCACACACCCCCACAAATGGCCCAGAGCTGTCAGAGATCGGGGGTCTTGCATTGGAAGGATACTTACCGAACAGGCTCCCCCACCGCGCTTCTCCTTCCACCACTTGGTCTTCATTTTGGTCAGAACGCCCTGCTCCTGCATCTCCAGAACGGCCTGACTAAGGGTGTCTCGATATGGCCAGTCTGTGGATGCAATCTCGATTGGTTGTTATTGGATTTTAGGGAGTTCTAAACATACTTTTCCGCATGGCAATGCCGTAGCCCTTCTCGTCTAGCAAAGGTCCCACTTGGGTCAGAGTGCAGCGCCTCTCGGTGATGTACTCGATGGTGGTGGACTCCATAAGGAAGGCATAGTTGCTGTTCTCCACCCGATCGACGCCCTCCTGGTTGGACATGGTCATAAACTGGGGATTGTCCCGCATGAACTCATACATTCGTTGATAGGTGGGATAGTTGGATTCCTAAATAATAAAAACCATGAGGTTTTACAACCAAGATTTTCCTTTACTCACCTTGAAGAAGGTAAAAGTGCTTCCACCCACTTTGGCGCCGTAGTTCACCCCGCCTTTGTTCTTGGACAAGTCATCGGCATTGTCAATTGGAGTTACCAGAGACTCGACAGTTAAAAAGGCTGCCAAGTTAGCGGTATAAGAGGAGACTAAAATCAGTGTGAAGAACCACCAGGAGGCGGCCACAGCTCGGGTAGAGTATGCCCTTAAAAATAATGATTTATAATTAATTTTCATTTAAATAGTTACTGTTTAATAATTGCTAACTTTGGTGCCAATTCAGAGCCCTGTTGCAGTAGAGCACCTACGGAAAACCACAGGCAGTTGGCAAAGCTAAACTGATTCTCCAGCTCAGTGGGTTCCTCGATGCATGGATATGGATTGTCCCATTCGGCTGGCGAAAGTCGTCCCAGGACAAACATGCTAATGGATACGCCCATGTAGGCCAATCCCAGCCAGAGCCACACTTCACCCGAAAATGGTGACATGAAAGAGAAAAGCTTTGGAGGCTCCTTCATTGGCTTTCGAAACAGAATTCCAATTCCTGAAATATATTAATGCTGTATAATAGAATATTTTTAATAAAAGACTTCTCTTACCCAAACTCATAAAGGGTATTGTAAAGTCCACACCACTTTCCCGCTCCGAGGTCATGGTCAGGTCGGTGATGCCCATATCAGCGCGCTAATCAAATATAAAAGCATATTTAACTTATTTATTTAAGAACGGTGTAAACTGGTGGTTATTTGCATAAAAATTCATATGTAAATATCACGTATACGCTCTGTGGACATTGCTGTGCCAATCTATAAATTTTTAATTTTTATTACAAAGTTTTGGCCGTGATACTGCGAAGAACTGTAACCAGTTAGTATTAATTCATAAAGAGCGTAAATATATACAATCCTCGGTTTAAACCTTACAAGTATGAACCTTTAAAGTCAGCTTCATTAATTTTCCGCCCACTTTATTAAAACGGCCAAGTGCTTTATTGGCAGTTGGTGCAATTTTCAGACAATTTATCTTGCAGGCAAAGGACGAATTTCATGAGGCAGGGACAGATTAATCGCCCAACTATAAAAAGAATTAATTTGGGCCAATTTGAGCCACAAGCGGACTGAAAATAGTCTGCCATTTATGGCACCGATAACGACGATGTCGGGATTTATGGCCATTTAATGTAAATCAATAACGCCACCGAGACAAAGGATAGCCCAGAGCCGATTAGATTTATGAATGCTTATTGCCGAAACTCACATTATCCATTATTTCACGCAGCATGCCGTTCCACTCTCCGGTTTTGGGGTCGATTCCGCCGTACTTGTTGTCGGGCTGGAGGCGGAAGGTGTAGCTGAAGCCGAGCTTCTTGGAGAGCTCGTCGATGACGTCGATGCCGAAGCCCTCGAACTGATCATTCCCCTCCAGCTTCTCGGAGGTCTCCTTCAGCATGCCATATGGCTCGCTCTGGAACGAACACAAAAAAAGTCAAAATCAGAACTAAGGACTCTGGACTCCCAAGTTTAGTCAAGTTCGTGCGCACACTTACAATGGCCGTGACGACGACAAAACTTTTGTTCACCAACGAGCGCATATCCGGCTCTAAGGAGTGCGCCGGGGCCGGGCGATTCTGCTGGAAGCCATCCTCGCCGCTCCATTGGCCAATTTTCTGCATCCCGGACACCGCCAGCTCAATGACTTCCAGGTCGAAGTCCGTGCGCAGTCCCTCGTAGTCGAAGCGAATGGGACCCGTGAGGCCATTCAGTGTTAGCTGTGGACCGGCACTCGGTGCATAAGTTATTCAAAATCGGGCAGTTATTCACACGATGGGAAAAAAAGAAAGAATTTATTGGTTACAGGCTACGTTTATGCGGAGGACTACCTAATTTTAGTATAAACCTATCAAGACTATTAATATACTACTCTAGATAATCTAAACTCACCGATTTCATATAATTGACGAGCGTGTAACCCTTATCCCAGGCACTGTCATCGTTGCAGCTGAGAGCCACGGGCCGGAAGTTCACATGCTTGTAGGTCTCGGCCAGCAGCTGAACTCCGTCGTAGACCAGGGCCATGCTGTTGGTCAAAGGACACGACACTGGCGGCGAGGAAGAGAGGGTTAGCGTGTGAAGGATAACGTCATTTATCATTTCTTCTCCTCGGTTTGGGTGTGGGCGGGACAAGGGCCATGAAAATGCAATTCAATTATTTAAATTCACTCATGCGAACGGATTTGGGATTTGCATAAATTGTCTGGTGGGTGGACAATCGTTGGGGTCTCAGATTTACCGTTCTGGAAGGGCTCCTCGCTCTCGTACAGAGCCTTGGCCACCTCCAGCACCTGCTCGTTCTCGGGCGACACCAGACGGAGTCCCGTGATATTGGTGCCGGCATGCTGGTACGGCTCTAGGTCCATGGTGTGCCAGTCCAGATTCCCGATGATGTACCGATACTCACTGGTGACCAGACCCACCTGCTGGGCCTGCTTGAAGAACTCGGGCAGGGTGCCCATGGAGCCGACTACCACAAACGAGAAGTCCGCGGAGTTCCGCACACGCCGCAGCACATTCCGGTAGTTCCCGTTCAGGTCCAGCTCATAGCGACGCACCGTGACAGTGGGTCCTGCGGTGTCGTACATCTGGATGAGGTCCCGCACGGTGGCCAAGTACTCGCCCGACTCGTAGATAATGGTGAAGCTCTCCCAGCCCAGGGCGGCCACCATGTCCCGCAGGGCCACGCCCAGGGAGGTCGGGTGGGGGTGGAGATTGATGGTGGGCAGCTGGGCCTGAAAGTCCCAGCGCGTGTCCAGGAAGGGCAGCTCCTTGGCGTCGCAAATGCTCATCGCGTGACGGGCGGCCAGGTTGGTAGTGGGTCCGAAAACGGCCACCAGATTTTGCTAGAATTAGAGTGGTTAGCCGAGATTTTGGCCACATTGGGGCTAGATTTATAAGCCAAATACTGCAGGGACTTACCCTAAGCATCTTGCACAACTTCTTTGAAGTCTCAAAGGAGTTTCCGGGCTCAATGGCGGCGGACACGCCATGGAACTGCAGCTCCTCGTTCTCCTCGTTCGCCTTGCTAATGGCCAGGTGGAAGATCTTCTCTAGATCCGGTTCCGTGCTCTCGTAAATAAGACCTTCACGGCGAGAGAGAGGAGATAAACAAACATTATTTGGCTCTTTGTTTTGCTTAGCTCTTCTGTTTATATTTTTAATCGGCCCACGGTGCGTATGCGGCATAAAAATACATGACACATTTGCAAATGCCGCGCTGCAAATTCCTGCTTATGTAACGCGGGGAAAATCTCTTTCTGGTGCAACACTCACCCACATTGGTTCTCTCCGCTTGACAGAACAGCAATAGGGAAATCACCAGAAGGAAACCAAGTGGAAGACCTCCTCCGACAGACTCTGTCTTCCTCCGGAATTGCATTCTTTTGCCGACGCGAACGGTAATCCAGAAATTCATAAATATTTTCAGCACTCGCGTGCCCTGTGGATTTCGGCAATTATTTCCAATTAATTGCGCGATTGTTCACTGTTTTTGTTCGGCATCTAAATTTGCATATTTCTGCAGGCTGTCCGTCGCGACCGGGAATGGGAATACGATTGAAAATGGCCAAGAGAACTGCGGCCAAGAAGCCATCTGCCGCCAAAGCGGAATCAGCTGATAAATTCGCCCCGGGTATTTTTGGCTTTTATGAATGAAAAAGTTTCGGCATTTCCGCCAAACTTTCTCTAATTGAATCACACTTCAGCTCCATTGGAGCCCAATCATTGGTGGCCCGGATTAATTAGATACAGCTTCACCTTTTTAGCGCCAATTTGAGCTATATTCGAAATCGGATTCCCAAACAACAGTCCAACTCTTCAGAAACTTGAAAATAAATCTGCCACAGCAGCAGAACGTGTACGGAATATTCCACAGCAATTCCGTGGCTAATGGAACTGGACTGTTGCGGGGTTGAATGGGAGATATCCTGTTCTGGAGCGGAGTCCTTGGCACTATATAGAAGGGTGCAGCGAGGGGCTTAACGTAAATAAATAAAACGAAAACGAAAATAGCCAAGAGCATAGTGGCGAGGGGAGGGAAAGCCACGAGGCGAGAGATTGAAAACAGCTTTCTGCGAAATTTGTTGTGGCGCAACGGACGTGCAACAAGCGTCGATAAGTGCAACAAGAGAGAAAAATAAAGGGAATCCGAGAGAATGGGGCAGAGTGTCTGGCACAATGGCTGTAAACAAATTCATGGCATTTCGTTCGGCACTCGTAAAAATTGCCATGAATGATAGGGATATTATTTCCCACGAGGGTAACTATTTCATATTAAAGACTCATCATTTTTCACAGTGTCGTTGGTTTGGGCCAAATGGTGGTGCTGTTATTGCTCTTGTCAGGGACGTGCAACTGCAACTGCGCTCCACTTGTAGATTTTTGAAGGCCCAGCACGATTTATGGGCCGGGCTTTGAATAATCCATTTAGAGCATGTAAAACAAGAAGGAACCATGGCCAAAACCAGACCAGAGCCAACCAGATACAGTTGCCGAGCATCTCTTATTTTTAATAATGACGCTAAGGCAGAAATGTAAAAATTACAAAAAGCAACTCTTAGCCACATACACCATGGCATAAAGCCTGGCAGTCATGCCGGAAGGTTTTTGTATTCCATACTTTCGGGCATGTCCTTCGCACACAATGGCAGGACGAGGGCCGTCAAAAGTGTGGCAACAGGCGGGGGAGTGGGCCAGGGCCAGGGGATAAAATCGAGGCCCATGTGGACGGGCGTGTTCGCTAGAAGCAAACTGTTGCTGTCACCAGTGAATAAAATCAACGTCTGGCACATGGAATGCATTTTTTCAGTTTTAAATTAACGACTTTAAGTCACACCTGACATTTCACAGGATTCTTAAAGCGATGAAGAAATACCACTGGCCAACCCGGGTCTAAGCTCGTCCCCCAAGGTTTTCGTCATAATTTTCTTTCGAAAATTAACCATAACTTGAGAATCGGATAAGTATTGGGGAAGATATAGCCATCACTGTGGGCCATATAGTGGAAAACCCCATTTTCAAGGGATCCCATCATGAAAAATGGACAAAAAATCTAAAAAATATTTTGTATCAGGATTTTGATGCAGAATGGTGGAGAATCGATCCAGAAAACGTTTAAGGTATTCCGCTTGAGAATCGGATGAGAATTGGGGAAGATATAGCCATCACTGTGGACACTATAGGGGAAAACACATTTTCAAGGGATCCCATCCCGTAAAATGGACAAAAAATCTTTGAAATATTTTTTATCAGGATTTTGATGCAGAATGGTGGAGAATCGATCCAGAAAACGTTTAAGGTATTCCGCTTAAGAATCGGATGAGAATTGGGGAAGATATAGCCATCACTGTGGACACTATAGGGGAAAACCCATTTTCAAGGGATCCCATCCCGAAAAATGGACAAAAAATCTAAAAAATATTTTGTATCAGGATTTTGATGCAGAATGGTGGAGAATCGATCCAGAAAACGTTTAAGGTATTCCGCTTAAGAATCGGATGAGAATTGGGGAATATATATCCATCACTGTGGACACTATAGGTGAAAACCCATTTTCAAGGGATCCCATCCCGAAAAATGGACAAAAAATCTTTGAAATATTTTGTATCAGGATTTTGATGCAGAATGATGGAGAATCGATCCAGAAAACGTTTAAGGTATTCCGCTTGAGAATCGGATGAGAATTGGGGAAGATATAGCCATCACCGTGTACACTATAGATGAAAACCCATTTTCAAGGGATCCCGAAAAATTGACAAAATTGACATATGTACCTTGTACCTTTATCTTGGATCTTTTAACTATACATCCAATTATAACCAATTTCGCAGGAAGGGTGTATAAGTTTCGTATAAGTATATGTAGCATTCTTTTTTATGTTTTGCACTTCTTCTAGGCATTTTTGTCCGTCACCCTTATGGTGTTAAATTGCCCAGCAGCCGGGTACTTGCATTTGCATTTTCATTCGCGCTCGCATTCGCATAACCGTCTACCGGCGTCAATGCATCTCGAGGATACGCATGCCGGCACTCGCTGTATGCATTTTAAGCTCGCTGGAAAATCGCTGGCATTATGCACACGCACACCAGCAAGGACCCAGGACACTCTGGGCGATGGCTAAAGTACTTCGGTTCGGCTTGGTCCTAAAATCACCTTGAGCCGCCTTAAGCTGGAGGCAATTAGTTGGGTGGATCAGTTCAGGCAGGTTGGAAGGACTAATAAAATATAGAATAGAATTTAGGGCTAAGAAATTATGACATAAATACAAAAGACCCGTGGGAAACTAAATCTTGTGTGTGTGGAACCGTGAGACATTGAGAGACATTAAAATAGAGACAATCGTTTAAAATCGAAAAAATCAGATTTAAAGTACTGAAAATCTTAAGATTTTTATCTCAAGAGGCCTTCTTAAGATCCGAAACATACTAAACAGGCCATAAATGACTGGCAGGGTCACTTCGTATACCCCTGATAGTCGAACCATTTGGTTCTGTCAATATTTGATACCCTCTGCATACAGCATCTTATTGTTGATTCAGCCAACTGAATGATGTTGAACTTGGTTGCTGATTTGATTTGATTTATTTTGACATTGAATTTTTGGGGCGTGCCAATTCGGTTTGCTCTGCCAATGCCAAAAATACAGCCGGGGAAATCAAATGCACAATTTGCACACTGGAAACTTGATTGGCACGACGAGGGTGAACCTTGTTGGCAGGCGAGCGTTTATTTTGGGGACATTTAAACGGTTTCAACAAGGTCGAAGTGGAAAAGGACAAAAGCGCTGGCAGGGCTGTCCTTTACGCTTTATTACTTAGGTAGCTTACACAGCCCATTATAGAGCATCTTTAGGGAAGCGGCAGGGAAGCGGAGGCAGCGCCCAAAGGTAAACATGCAAACAGACCAGAAATAGCCTGCAAACGGCGTTTCCTGTGAGTGGGGCGACAATTTGGCGCCCTGTCAAAACAAAGTGCTTCAGCACATAGATACAGGCACACACATACCGATGCACATTGCGGGTGTTTGTGTTTGTCGACAGCCAGACCGAAAGACAGACAAAATCTATTTGGATCGCTCCAGCCAGACAAGCAAGAAGCATTCGCAAAAGCCTCGGAATCCGCAAGAGAGCAACCATCACAGACACACATATATATTTAGCGTGGCAGGATACACCCACACACATACTAAGTAACGCACACAAGTGCAGGCAACATGTAATGGCGCGTAAAGTGTTGCGCCATCTTAATGCGTGCCAAAAACCGCAAATTCATGTCCGCGAATCCTTTTCGGAGGGTAGGCAGGCGTCTGATAAGGAGCAGAGGCATTAGCCAGAGCCTGGGGAGCAGGAGGAGATAGAGGGTGGTGAACCGCAGGAGTGAACGGAAACGGAAATGAGTGGAGTAAGCCGTAGGATGGCAAACTGAAAGGGGTTTTGGGCGGGTTGAATGCTCTAAAAGCCATTTGGGAGCCAGGGGAGCCAAGTTTTCATTGCAATTAGTAGCAGGTTGCTGTATTGGTGTCTACACTGAAAAAATAATCAAGTTTTTAGCATATTTTTAAGATAAATATTTAGATATTATGGAAGGATTTCTAAACTTAAGCATTGTATTAAGCATATTAAAGCAATGTGTACTTTTGATATTAGATTTATTTCTCTGCCTGTATGCGTTGTGTATCTCAGTTCCTTTCGGCCATGTCAAAGGGCTAACGGAGTGTGACACTGAGAGAGAACCCATTCGCTGGGGCCTGGTCCTAATGTTGTTGTTAATTCAAATGCAGCGAGTCTCACGCAAAAGGCTATTTCCAGGACGCGTGAAATTTGAACAACATTGGGGCTATGCCAAAAACAGCTAACAGGTGAGCAGGGCCAGGCCAGGGCATGAGGGCAGAAGGGCAGTGGCCCTAAAAGTGGAAGAGAGTGGCCCAGTTGGCACTGGGCCAAAAACTGGCCCAGGCAGCCCTAGCCAAGCCAACCAGTTGCATTTGCTGGTATGTTGCTGCTGCGGCATGTTAATGTCAGTGTCACGGTGTCAAATTGTCAGCGCCTGTTGCCACTCCAAGGGGGCAGGGGGTCAAAGGACGAGAGGACGAAACCAGGATAGTTGGCATGCCAAAATACAAATTATGTGCGACGCCTTAAAGTATGCCATGTGCCATAATTTGCTGTGACATCGCTGTGAACTTTGCTGGGGTGAAAGTTCCAAAAAATGAACACATGGCACGTCCGCAGAATGCTAATGTTTGCCAAGGACTACAAGGACTACAAGTCGAGGGGATATCTCAGTCGCACGCATGTGGCAAAACAGTTTGTCTTGCCACAGAGTAATCCAGCATATTGGCCATTAAGTATACGCACTGCGGGCCCAAAGAAAAAACCCTCATCAAATTAAAAAGGATGCGGGCGAAGGCGACGGTAACGGCCGAGCAACCCTTGCGGCGCATATGCCAGGAATATGCGTGCACATTTTTGAAATTTAACCACTTGTTAAACAATAATATCCAATATCAAAACAAACCTAGCGTGTGCGCAGCCAGGAGAGGTTGTTCCAGAGAACTCTCGGCCTCTCTTGGCCGTTCTCTTTCCCCAATGCATACACACAAATGCCAGCCAACGGACGAGTGAAATGCGCCAGAGAACTGGCTGCTTTTGGCCAGGCCAACTCAGGAACAGTTCGCAGAGGTACGAACCCAGGAACAGTTCCATTCGAGACGTGAGCGAGTTCGGACGTATTTGGCGGACACTAGGCAGACACCAAGCAGTTATCCTGTAAACAAACTCTGTTAGATAAAGGACTCACCTGCACAGTTCGCGAGTGTTGTGTGTGCCAACCATATGTGTGTTGCTGTGATTTAACTGGATTAAACAGAGATCGATCAGGACTCAGGATGCCAGAAATAGTCGAACTGAATGTCGGCGGCGTGAGCTACACGACCACGCTGGAAACTCTGCTGCAGGATAAGAGCAGTCTGCTGCACGAGATTTTCTCCGAGCGGGATGCCCTGGCCAAGGACAGCAAGGGCAGGTACTTCCTGGACCGCGACGGGGTCCTCTTCCGCTATATTCTGGACTTCCTGCGCGACAAGGCGCTCCACCTGCCTGAGGGATTCCGCGAGCGGCAGCGACTGCAGCGCGAGGCGGAGCATTTCAAGCTCCAGGCCATGCTGGAGTGCATCCGAGGCGAGCGGGATGCTCGTCCACCAGGCTGCATAACGATCGGCTACCGCGGCAGCTTCCAGTTCGGCAAGGACGGGCTGGCCGACGTCAAGTTCCGGAAGCTGTCGCGCATCCTGGTCTGCGGCCGGGTGGCCCAGTGCCGTGAGGTGTTTGGCGACACCCTGAACGAGTCCCGGGATCCGGATCACGGCGGTCCGGACCGATACACGTCGCGGTTCTTCCTGAAGCACTGCTTCATTGAGCAGGCCTTCGACAACCTGCACGACCACGGCTACCGCATGGCCGGAAGCTGCGGATCGGGAACCGCAGGGTCCGCGGCGGAGCCCAAGCCGGGCGTGGACACCGAGGAGAATCGCTGGAACCACTACAACGAGTTCGTCTTCATCCGAGACTAAGGAGGAGCTCCCACTCGACCACCACCCCACCCGATCCAGCTCTCTATCCTTCTGTTGCGTTCAAAGGGGATCTGCAGGGATCCCACCGAAATCAGAATTTAATGGTTTGAGTTTTAACCCACCTCTCTCGATTTACGAATGGGAACATTTCAAGTGTACAACTAACTAACAATCCACAAGTGTAGCCAATTGTTGACATAGATGCATTACATATATACAACTTAAGGGGGAGTAAGGATGAGCTAATTTGAGTTTTATTCCTTCGATTGCCACGATAATTAAATCGTTAAGTTACGAGTTACGAACTATTAAGTCCAGAGGGGCCATCAAATCGAATATTCTGGCCAGATGTGCATCAGAGTCTTTGATGAATTGGGATGTTTTGACCAAGATGGCCAAGAAGGAGGAAAATCGAACAACAAAGCCGGGAGATAACTAAAACAAAGCAAACATTTTATTGGCCCAAAAGTTTTCTTTAATGCAGTCCAGAATAAACACGACGCGATGGAAACAGAAAACAGAAACCAGAACAGATTAAATGAAATAAATTGAAACGAAACAATTAGAAAGAACTACGCCACTGGATAGAAGGATTTGTGGCCAATCAATCACACTATGTAATTGTAAAATCTGAACACTGAACAATTTGAACAATACGGGTTACTCTTTGAAACTAACGAAATATTGTAGCAGCAGATACCACAAGCAGGCAGCCAACTCTAGCTCCAGTACGGCCTATCTAACGTTTTATTAGTCTAATAAAAGTCGAAACTTGCAAGAAAAATAAAAATTTACATATAATAGCATAGGATAATATGTGTTGACCTAGACGGAAAAAAAACAGTCTGCAAACCATAAAACTCGACACCAAAATCAATATTAGAAATACATTTCAGCCACACAACGGCTGTCATAAGATATGTCCTTTGGCAGCAAGAGGGTCCTCTTGAAGCGCTTCCGATTTGGCTGGATTATTATTGTAAGCTTGAATCTGGCCATAGGAACTGACATTGATTCTGACTATTGACTATGATAGAACGTTTTAGAAATCAGAACTAGCAACACTCATAGAGAAGCACATCATTTAATGCAACATCTATTCGATTTTGATTTATTAGTAAATCGTAACGAAAAATGCCAAATTTCACACGGACTTCCAAATCATGATGGGATACAACACGTACGAAACAAAATTTGCTGAACTTTACAAGACCCAGTCAGTTGTTATTGATTTTATTCGCATTGGGAGCGGACTCATAGCAATGTTTTTCGCTGACATATCTAGCATAGCATTTTCAACATTTCCGCAGGTTTGTTGTTTGTTTGTCGAACACATAAACATTTATTAATCGAAGCGATGGACGATTTGGCGAAAAACTCAAATGGAAATGAAATGAAAATGCCGATGCGCCACATTGAAGAATATTAAATATTGTATAAACTATAAATTCCTTGAGTTGTGGGTGACGAAGCATGTTGAGGCGTTGCATGTGCAATCGTTAACGATAAAGTGGTAATAATATGCATGAGAAACAAATGAAAACTATTAAGCTCCATTATATACTGAGGCCGTGGACTCTCTTTGTGGGTTTGCGGCTCCTACACAGATAATATAAATCGATATATACATATATCTATATATACATACCTAATTATATATATTAAAACAATTGTCGATATTGAAAGTATCTTATAAATGTTTAGTCTTACATGTAATTGAATCCAAAGTTGGAGCGGAGGAGGACGGAGGACGGAAATGTATTGTATCATTAATTAAATTAAACTGAAAACTAATTTAAATTAACAAAAAAACGAAAAATGTATTTAGAGAAGCGCAAAGTAAAATTGCTAAAATAGCCTATCATATGTATGTAAAGAGGTATAACTTTCGAGATGCGAAAACCAACAATAAATTAAAGAAACCAAAAACCCAGGTATCCTTAATTTGGGCCACCAGGTGAGGGTGTCTCCCTTCAGGAGGTCTTTCTACTTTACAGCCCACCACTGATTAATAGGGTATTCTATGGCGGGGGCACACAATTTTCGTTATTTGCTGCTGCATTATTAAATCCAATGAATAAATTATTTTGGTCGCAAAACAAATTGCCTGACATTGATAGCGGCGAATAAAAGTTATGAACTGCCAGCGTCGTCTTGCGACAGCTCATTAAAATTGACGGCTAAACAAATAAAAATACACAAATGCAAACACAATCATAAAAGAATCAAATATACATTGTACATTGAAAATAAAACAAACAGTCGGACGACCTACAAAGACAAAAAAAAAACACAGCAACATAAGACGACAAACAATGGCAAACAAAAGTTTTTGAGGAGCGGGTTGGGGCAGCAAATATCAGCCTGAAAAAGTTGACAGGAACAAAAATGTGTATAAATAGCTGGAAGTCGAGGGCCCCGAGATGAATGGAGGCGTCCATTAAAGAGTCAGCGAACAATTCCTCATTCTTTTAAATTCAAAACAGGCAACAGTGGGTTACTCGGCTGTAGGGGCTGTAACGTTGTGAGGTCTGTGAGGGATCCAGCCAAAGGTCCTGGGCAACAAAACGTGCAACGAGCACGGGGGCTACCGAGAAATGCTGAAATTAAAAGGGAAAATGCTTTCTTGTTTTTCGCAATTTTCCTCTTTCTCTTTATTTTGATGCTTGTGCGTGTTGAAGTGTGTACTTGAGAGCTTTGGAGAAAGGTATACCAATAAAAATGGCCCGGACGGGACGGGCCGGGCTGGGCACGGATGCGAAGGAGACGAAACGAAAGTTGGCGCCAATCGGAAATGCACTGCCTAAAAGCCAGCCCAGGCTAGCAGGATACGAACCCGATGAGCAGGTGGTATGCCACCTGCATACTAAGCAACAAGCGAGTATTTTTTCTAGATGCCATGGATGTGGATGGGGGCTGGATCTGGATCTGGCAGTTATTGACTGTGCGAACTCAAGATGTACACAATATGCAAATTGCGGGTCCAGAATGAGGTAAGACAGCAGTCAACTTGGCAGCAGCAGTCAATTTTGGTATCTGCTCTGCGCATATAAATTACAGAGAAAATACTTCGTGCTGTACATACTTATATATATTATATATACGGGTAATACATCCACCCTGCCACCCATCCACACACGCACTCGCTGGGGGCCTTCAAAGGTGGCAGGATGTGTTGTCGATTTCTGAGCCTGGCAAATGAAATGATGCCTTTTTGTCTCTTACGCTAAATTACCTTGATTTGATTTTGCCTTAGTCAAGTTGGCCCCGTTGATTAACATTTTCCCGGTTCTCAGCCATCATGAGGAGGCACCAGGCCACAAAAGGACCTCGCTGTGCGGCAGTCACCCTGTCATTTTCAATTAGTTTCAACCGGCGGAGAAAAGCGGTCCCTTGGCCAGGTAACTCAGAAGACTGCTGGAGGCTTGGAGGCTGGCCAACAAAAGGCACAAGGCCTCATCATCAGGAGTGTCATCGTCATGTCTTATTAATACAAAATGGTGCAACATAGGTCGGGGCATAGGCTTTAAGGACGTCTTAAATAGAAAACTCTAATCCAGATGATTTACATATTAAATGTCAAAATACAAAAATCAATATTTATATTAAATTAATGAATTCATATCTACTTGTAACCTAATCATAGACTAACCAAATCCATAAACAATAGTTATGATAACCCTATTACGGAAATTACCTAGATAAACTGGATACGGTTCAATTAGCAGTATGCTGATTTTATTCAAGTGTAGTTTTTGCCAAAAAATATTCAGCCAAGAGAGTGCCACATTTTATCAAGAATTTCGGGATACATTCTCATTTCACGTACACATATGTTCATCACTCGGCCAACTTCTCACGCAGCTACATGGCCATAATGACCGCATCATTCACCATAGAGGTCCCGAAACCCTGTTTACAACTCTTATTTGCCGTAAGTTTTAAAGGTCTACACGTGCGCAACGCAATAGTAGTCATAAAATAACACTTCGGGCCAAGAGAGGCGAAATAACTATTGTTATGACGCCTTTGAACGAATTTTTGGGGGAGAAAACAACAAAAGACCATACCATATACATAAATACCAGACATTATAAAATAAATATAATAATTTAAATAAATAAAAAAATAAAAAAAAATAATAGCATTTTCAACGTTGCCTCCTGTGAGGGTTGAACTCACGGCCTTTGGTTTACGAGACCAACGCTCTACCACTGAGCTAAAGAGGCGTTGAGAACTGGGCTGCCCAATGCTCTATACAAGCCAAAGCAAGGAGAGAGTTTGTTGATTTTGTTAATTGAGAGCTAAAAATAGCGAGAGAGAGTCAAATTTAAGAGAAAAAACAAGGGTTGTGAGAAATATATACCTACATATAGATAGAAGATCATGAGTCACTATCTCAGATTCTCCTTGTAAAAAAATAAATACCCAGCCATTGTAAAAAATATATTTTAAGATCTAAATTTTTAAATTATTTTTAAACTATTTTAATTTATAAAAAATAGTTTTTAAAATTAAAAATAAATAAAAGTAAATAAAAATATTACATTTAGCACAGTTGCCTCCTGTGAGGGTTGAACTCACGGCCTTTGGTTTACGAGACCAACGCTCTACCACTGAGCTAAAGAGGCTTCGACGACGCGTCCGCCAAAAGGTATATAATAACGGCATGACGAAGGGAGGGGGGCGGGGCAAAATCTTCAATGGGCGTGCGCACTGTAACGATTCATAAAATATTCAGTTAAAAGTTTAAACTTATTTTATTTTAACCAGAATAAAAACTTAAAATATTGTCAAACACGCATAAATGTCTTTAATTAATTGCTTTACTTGTCGTGATATATTATCTCGCATGCGACAAGCCTGTTCTCGAGATAAGATATTTGGCAATTAACTTAACAACCTCCCGTCCTCTCAGATGACTTCCCGCACACCAGATGGCTATTAACTAATAGACCACCAAAATGCTGTAATTGCAATATGCATTAGACAGTTAATATGCGGCTATCCATCATGATGCCAAGCCGCATACTGGTTGTTGACCAAGGCCCACACACACAGAAAAACATCACTCATTGTCAGGAGCAAGGACCAAACAACACACAGACGCTACTGGGGCTTTCTGCATTATGTGTGTGCCACAAAGCGGAAATGCTTTGTGGCAGGCTCCAAATGAAAGTATTCTCCCCCACCCCCCGTGTGAAAGAAAACTGGCCCTAACATAAATTCAAATTTTCCCATGTCTCTACCTCTGTGCTGGTTAGAGCCATTAGATGTAGCCCGGCCTTGGCTTTGTTTCAAACCAGGCAACTTGAGCAGCCAATGACAAATTCACTTGTCACACAACACAATTGCGGTGAGTGATGGCGCCTGCTCCGAGGACCTGGCTGAATGGATAAGTCTGGAGAAGGCTATCCCACAGATGTCTGCGATATGTGAGTGACAATTCTATTAGTTACAAATTGAACGGGCCAAAGGGCCACTGGAAAAATAACAGAAATAGTTCTACCATTTGTTGCTACCAATACTAGGCCATACTCTTCTACTGTTTCTCTTTGTGTAAAAGCCAAAAGGTAGGCAGGGCCAAAACGACTAGCAGTTGGGGCACGCAAAAGAGCCATTAACACCAGTCATAACTAGGGCCATAAACAAGGGGCCCTGCTCCACAAAGTTGTGAACTTACGAGTGCTCGTGTATACAGTGATAAAATCGCGACTTTGTAAAGGTAATCCCCATAGGGGTAGCTCTATCTGGGAGTCCAGATAGTGTTTCAGGATTTAATCGTTGCCTCTAAATGGCATAAACTCGACGCTCTTTAGTTCTTTAGGACTTGAAAGGCTAGGTCCTATGACATGTCCGTCTGTTGGCTGGCGGAGTGATTTATGCAATGGCGTTGGCCAAATTAATTGCCACTAATCAAGTGATTTGAATTTTTCATGCACGAGCCTCGTAAAGGGTTTCTCTTCCGGTTCTTCCTCAAGTTCCCATTAGGAGGCAGCATAAAACAATTTATGGCGTTTTATAGCAACACTAATTGCACGCAAGCGCGAGGTCCTGATTAATTGCTGTCAAAATGGAATTAGGAGGAGCACTTGGCTGGCAGCGGTGGCGGTGGCGGTGGTGGGAGCACGCTGTAAGCCCAGCCACATGTTTATTGATTTCCTGGCCCGAAAACAAAACACACAGCTACACACACACACCCCCTGATAAATGAAGCGAACGGGGAAAATTTATAACCAAACTCAATGCCAAAACAGCAGGCGAAAATTAAAGAAAACGGCCCGAAAAGCAAGACCGAAAATCTTTGGGCCTGGCCAAGAGCAAGAAGCTAATTTATTGCATGTTGCCCAACAAGTTGAGACCCCTGGCATATGCTGGCCAGAAAAACATCAGGGCCCATTAGAACTAGAAGTTTCTGGGATGTTTGCGGGTTGGCATCTTCATTTGGGGTTTGATTTTTTGAGAGCCAAGATCCTGGCCAAGCTGTGGAAATTCCTGAAGCGGCAAGACCCATTCCTGATTAAAATATTTGCGGTTGTTGAGCGGTTCCGATTGGCTGGGCGGGCTCAGAGGTCACCTCTGCCCAGGCTCATTTGCATTTGGCCTTCTTTGTTTTTATTTTACTGGGCCGAACGCACTATTTTATTATCATTAATTATTCCGACTTCCAGATGGTTAAATTCCAATTAAACGCATTTCAACAGCTAATACAATTTGCTGGTCGCACGTAATATATATTTATTTATGGCCGACCGTAAATTCAATTGCTAAAATAATCAAAAGTCGTCCAAAACAAATTAAACGCCCATGCCGCAGGCCCGAACACAGAAAGATATAATGGGGCAGGATGGCTGGGCGAGGGAGGAGCTCCGTTAATGAGGCACGAAAAACAATTTGACAAAAGCTGCGGCCACTGGCCGGGTCCAAAT